AAAATCTTTAAAAAAAAAAAAAAGTTGATGGTGGCTTAGTCTTCTGTTTTGTCCAAATATAAAAAATGCATTTGGGGCACCAGGCTGGCTCAGGGGGTATAAGCGTCTTTTGATCTCCCAGTCGTGAGTTCAAGCCCCACATTGGGCATAGAGATTATTTAAAAAAAAAAAACAAAAAACCCACAATGTGTTAGAGGGGCACCTGGGTGGCTCAGTCAGTTGGGCGTCCCAACTCTTGGTTTGGCTCAGTTTGTGATCTCAGGGTCGTGAGATTGAGCCCTGCGTCAGGCTCCATGCTCAGCGCCAAATCTGCTTGAGATTCTCCCTCTGCCCCTGCTTCCCACCCCCCACCCCAGCACATACACTCTGTCTCTTTCTCTAAGATAAACAAATCATTTTTTTAGGGACACCTGGGTGGCTCAGGCAGTTGAGTATCTGCCTTTGGGCTCAGGTCATGATCCCGGGGTTCTGGGATCAAGTCCCACATTCGGCTCCTTGCTCAGCGGGGAGCCTGCTTCTCCCTCTGCCTGCTGCTCTCCCTGCTTGTGCTCTGTCTCTCTCTCTCTGTCAAATAAATAAATAAAATCTTTTTTAAAAATCTTTTTTAAAAAAGTGTTAGATTTTCTTTAGAAAATATTTTTGATACTCCTTAGTATAACTGTAACTTTCCTAACACAAAAGTTGCCTTATTTTATTTTCAGTTTTATATTAGTCTATCTCAGCTACATATTTTACTTTGTAGAATTTGAACCAAAAGAAAGCTTGGAGTTTATTGAAACTAGTCTTATCAGTTGATATAATAAGAAACTGACAAGGATGATACTTCATCATTGCCTTGGAAAATATACACTGCATTTTCACTGGGGTTAAAAATTATAACCTTGCAATCAAGACATTTTGGGGAATATTGCTTAGTATTAATATATTCTCTTGTTTTTAAAGGTGGGATATGAGCCTCTTCCTCCAACAATAGGACGAAATATTTTTGGGCGGCAAGTATGTCAGCTTCCTGGTCTCTTTTGTTATGGTAAGTGTTTTTGATTTATTTGGAATTTGGAGGACATTGAGGACGGTGCTAGGTAGGCAGGAGTTTTGGAAAGAAAAGATATAGAAAGCCTGTTGACATGAAATTTCTGTGTAACCATTTCTTACAGCTAGAATTTAAATCTCTGACTTGTGTTCTCAGCTCAGCACATTGCGAGCATCGATGGGAAGCGTGGGTTGTTCACAGGCTTAACTCCAAGACTGTGTTCAGGTGTCCTTGGAACTGTGGTCCATGGTAAAGTTTTACAGGTAAGAAAATCAAGTAATCTTCCCATAGATTTAGATTACCTTTTAAGCACAGTTTGTTCTACTGACCAAGAGCAATTTCAAAGATATGTTTATGACCATGTCCTTTCTTCCTCTTGAAAAAATTTACTTCAAATACCCATTCATAATTCTTCTGGAATGCAAGGGGAATTTGTATAAAATGAGGTGATAGATTTTGATCTGCAAGCCTTCTTCCTCTGAACCAGTCATTCTGAGCAGAAACACTTGCTCTCCTGTATAGCTCATTTTATTTCTTTGAAGGGGGAAAGAAGCTGATTGAAACACACATTTCTTTCTGGAGTTGTTTTCCTCTTATTTCTAACATCACCCCTAGTAAAATGTTTTTGTTACAAACT